TTTCCAATATTCAGAACAGAGATATGTAAATTTCACCAATTTTTCAAAGTGTTTATACCAGGCAGATAGGCAGAATCAGATTAATATCTAGGCTATTATAATTTCTGAGAAACATTAAAATCTTTAATTAGTGCTGCATACAGAATTTAGATTTGGAGCCATAAAAAGCCTTTAGTTTTTTCTAACAGCACTTTTTCAGGACCTTCTCAAAGCCATGAAATTCTCAGTTCCTGCATCCAATACTAGCCATCTGCAGAACTGTTATACTGGATGATGGCTCATATAACTTATTTCTTATATTAGCACAAGTGGATTGGGACTGCAACTTCATCTGACACAGGTCAATGCATGTAGCCATTCTTGGTGCTTTATACCCATTTGGTTCCTTCTGCAGACTCAGTCCTACCCAAATTGTAGCTTCCACTCGCCTTGTCACCTTACTCCCCATTTCTACTTTTCACTCCCAATTGAGAGGAAAAAAAATTGTCAGATCTTCGAAAACAGAACTTGAATTTTAAGTAAGGCTATAATAGAAAAGAGCGGTAGAGTTGAATAAAATTTATTCTAAACGTGTAAATGCAGGACATGTTCGTTTGGGTTTTTGTTTTTTGGGTTTTTGTTTTTAAACTAAATGCAGTTTTAATAGCAGCCAAAGTTGACCTTTATTATCCTACTGCCCAGCTTAAAACACACATTCAATTCAGATTTTTTCTCATCAGGAACCCTAATTCCACACAGTTTTCAGATACTGCCTATGCACATAAACAGCAAATGCTATCATATGTCCTTCCACACACTGCAAAGGATTCTGTATATAACCTTGCATTGCTCTCAGGTTTAAACATTGACCACTCTTGGTGGTTTTTTCAGCCCCACCTTGTTGAAACCTCTGCTTGGCCCTTTTGCAGTCAAACCTTATTTTCTAGCCCAAAATTTCACCCCATGCTTAATGGGAAAAATTTAATTGCTTACTTCATCTTTATCCTTACCTCTAGATGTTGGAAAGGGAAGAGGGGGTAGCAAGAGTGTTAGTTATACATTGGAAAAATTAAATATACATATATTAATATAATACATATATTAATATACAATATATATTTTAATACAAATTAAATATACATTGTAGCTGCCCACAGACAAGAACTAACATACATAACTGAACATGAAGTATTTATGGAACATCTCTACCGTGACACACTTAAAAAGAAAATAGTAGTCAGGTTGTTATTTATACATTTGTCTAATTTTACAAGCTCTCAAAAATACCCTGTTCAGCTCTGTTAGATTTGTATTCAAGGAATTAAATTCATCTAACTTTGTTCAATTGTCTAGATTGCATTCCAAACAATGTCTGCATGCAAAATATTCCAAAATATAATTTGAGATAAAATCTGACAAGTTTCAAGAAAACTTTTCTGATGACACTGAATACTGATGCTGAAAATGTAAAGAATTCACTTAAAAATTATACACACCAAAATATTTAAATCTGGCAACGCACAACTGATGTATGTTAAACTTCGCAAGTCAGAGGGTTTTCATTCCACAGTTATTTGAAAAGTGTTATCTATCTTGGAAGTCTAGTGTAACAAACTTCATCTAATGATATTAGACTTTCAGAAAGCTGGAGAAGATGATCACTAGTTTTTTCCAGGTTCCCCTCCGTAAGGAAAGAAAGCAAATCCCCTTAGTACAGCATTGCATTATGTGGCTATATTACTTCCTGTACTGGAGCTAGCACATGCAGAACTCAGGGGTTTTTGACATAACACCACCTTATTTCATATAGGCATAAACTACAAGTTGCTTTTGTACCCAAGATGTTACTTGTAATCATTTTTATATGCATAAGAAACAAAACTGATTAATTACATTTCTTTACTGATTTTTTTTTTAAAATTAGTTGTATATAACGTTCAAACTAGCCCTAAAAATTGGGGGAAAAAATCTGCTTGTTAAATATGAACTGCTCCCTATTCATCACCCTCCCAAACTATTAAAATGATTCCTGTGGTAAGATAACAAATGAAATAAAAATCCAAATATAGTTCAACTTGTTCTGGCAACACAAAATCTTGACTATCCAAAAGACAAAAATACCTTTTGACACAGCACTACCTTATTCCATATAGGCATAAGCTGTAAGTTGCTTCTGCATTTACTTGATGTGGTTCCTTGTAAACATTTTTGTATTAAAAAAACCCCAAAAAACCTGTGGAACTGAGGAACTACATTTCCTTACTGTTATAGGCTAAAGCGTAGTACATTCATAACGCTGTCAAATCAGGTTAAGAAAACAATATGGTCACTTAAAAAAAAAAAAAAAAAAAAAAAAAAAAAAAAAAAAAAATCTTAAACAAATCAGGTTAAGAAAACAATATGGTCACTTAAAAAAAAAAAAAAAAAAAAAAAAAAAAAGCTTTCATGAAAATATTTTTAATTACAAAGACTAGGTTGGCGATCTCCTAAATAATCAGAATAGACAGTCTGTGCAGCACATAACTTTCAACTTACCTGAAAGAAAGGTTTAAAGGATAGTCAGTTCCTAATCTGACTTCTCAAAATTCTAGAGTCTACTAAAATGCTTTTAATTTATTATGAAAGTGAACTGGATATATGGGATTAATGCATTACAATTTCTGTTATCCTACGGTATCGTAAACTTGCTCTATGAACTGGATGGGTGGACTTCCCCCTCCATCCTTTAGAAGGAAAGTTAGTTACATAACCTTGACCTTCTTGGGAACAAACAGCAGAATCAATCTTAGCAGGTGTTAAGATTTAACATTTTCTGGTGACATTCAAGAGGATCTGTCTGTCCCACATACCCCTGGGAAATCTATGATCTTTACATTTTTTCCCTACAAGCTCTTTTCATTTATCATATATTCCTTCAGTTAAATCCAACAGCTTTCTACCTGAAGTGAAGGGAGAAAGTGTCATCTGAACTCAGTACTACTACTATCTGGAGGAGTCAATGTGAAGCCACAGACTCATCTCCTCTATCAGTGTAGCATGTTGCAGTCAGAGCACTCAGGCACTTAACTCTATTTTTGCTGTACATAGCATTTTTTAGTTCTATAGTACGGCAAAAATTGTATGTTTTTGTGCAAGCATGAAAATGACAAGTTACATTTTTCTACTAGTTTTGACTGGCCAATTTAAAAAGACAACTGTCCAAGTACATGTTCCCAAATAGCTAAAAGTTTATAAGTTAGTGTTGCTATAAATATGAAATGTGATTTACAATTTAAAGATCAAGTGACATTTTCCCCCAATTAAATGTTGCTGGTTTTCCATTGCAACTAACTGGTTTGAACAAAAGCAACTCTAAACTTTTGGAAGTTGAAGTGCTGATTATACATGAGTCCACTTTTAAGCCGCATAATTTTATAAGAAAAACTTTAAAACAGCGTGGCACTGCATATTCTGTTTTTAAAACAAACTCTTTATTGTATGTTGCAATGCCATATCTTCTCTTACTCATCTGCTCAGCTATCAGCAACACCCGTCAGAGCCAAAGAAGGAATGGGAGAGAAGAGGGGGGGGGAAAAAAAAAAAGGGCAGAAACTAGTAGAGGTGCTCCCTTTCATTTATCAGATTAAAATGAAGGGATTTATTACTTCTCTTAAAGTTCTATTTGTAAACCCAATGAAATACTACCATAGGTAAAACTTTCATTATTAGTTTTGCTTAGGATTTTTTTGGGGGAAGGGAACATATTAGAAGAAGAGGGAAAAGCTACCTATGTTAAAAATAACTGCTTGACAGGACTCCCTCTCAGATATTTCTTGACCCTCAATCAAATAGCTGAAGTCTTTGTTCAAGGTAGAGTTAGTAGATTTAGACATTCAAGTTTTCAAAAGAAAATCACTCGCATACAAAATAAACTCGACCAATTTACCTAGTAGTTTTTGGTGGAAGGGAACAGGAAGTTTTTCTAATAAGAGTAACAGACCTAATGTATAATCAGCACTCAAAATAGAAGAGCTTCAAGGAGTTCCCCGAAATCCAGTTAAACACACTAAGCCATATGATTTCAGAACAGTATTATATTTTATATTAGGTCATTATTTCTAAGCTGGTCTTAGGCAAGTATGCATGATGGCTTAAATACTCCATACCACTTTCTTAAATTACATGTTTCTTTAATATTATTTTAAATTCATTCTACAATGCTGTTTACACACACTAAAACCTCCAATGGTTATTTCTGAGCTGGGAAACCCAGGATGCTTCCCCTCTTTGGGTATCTCAAATGGTATATACAGACATCAGGCCCTATAACTTTGAACCTGAAAGTAGAGATAAAGGATATGAAAATAACAAATTGTATGAAAGATGAAAAATGCTGTGCTGTACATTCAGTTATTTAAGAACTGTGTAAAGTTGATTATAAACTGGGTTTGTTTTTGTTTTTTCAAAGAATGCATATTTAAAAGCCTTATTTTCTGAAGTTATCAAACAAATGTAAATAATTGTGTACTTGATCTAAGGGTGAGTTGCCTCATTTTGTACATATTAGTTAATTTCAATACATACATACTACTGAAGTAAACATTCAGAAATCAAAACTATACAAGATTCATCTAACCATGTAAAAACATTTACATTAACTTAGTATTGATACATTTTATCTAAAAGATAAATGAGCTGCTGAATCTCTGCCACGCTTAAGCAGCACAATAATATTGGGGTTTGATTTACTTTAATACACCAATATTTACGTGCTGCTAGGGCGGAACAAGTATAGCAAATCTTCCGTTCATCCAGGTAACAGGAACACAACCTATTAATAAAACTTTGTAGAATTATCTTCAACTGTGTTTTTTCCTTAAATTCCTAAAGCAGCAAATAATGATTAGCATCTTTACAAGATCATGCAAACCATGATGTGCTGCTAGAGTAATTTAAGGTCTCAAATGAAAGACTCAGGGAACCTAAATAAATTTATTATATGGACTTGAAACATTGCCAAGTAAATATATTCACAAACTTACCTGTAAAATTAAAAATCTATTATGGTCCAGGTCAATTCCATGACTTCGAAGTAGAATACCAACATCTTTAAATGCGCTTTTCTTCCCACTGATTTGGTAGACAGAAGAATTATCTCTGTAGGCAGTTCTAGATACACAGAAATTGCTGTTAGGAATGACTTCATAATCATCCCCTTCCTGTTTTGAGGAAAAACAAAACCAGAAAAACAAAATTGTTACTATTGAGTCACAGCTTTACTTCAGTTTCCACCATTAAATAGTTTTTTAGGTTTTCAGAAGTCAATTGCACCCTAGGTCCCAGTTCTGCTGAAACCTATAGTAAAAATACTAGAGTGTAGACACCTCATGAAACATACAAAAGTTTGCCTTACAAAAACAGCTTTAAAAAAAATCAGCGTAGAACCATTCTAACTTGTTTAAATGAGTAAACCCTCTTTTTTTTTTTTATAATGTCTGTGCCACCTTTTACCTAGGATACTATTAAAATAAAGACCTAATTTAATCTCAGTTTAGCATCAAATGAAAGATTCTATCACTCAACTCAAAGAGGAAAAAGCTAAATTTCAAATAAAAAAAAAAGCTACTCCTTTCTTTATTTTTCAAATGAAGCAGCCCTGAATGACTTATCCTGTGTTTCCATGCTAGATTTTTTTTTTTTAAATTAACTGCCTCTAAATACGTTTTTTATTTAAAAGAAATAGACCATAAACACAGTAAACCCAAATGTCATGACCAGGTAGAAAAAAAAAATCCACTTAAGTTCACCTGAAACGGTAACTAAAACAAAATTGATACCAATTATTTATAAAAGTTTTAAAGAAACATGCATCAATTTTAAGAATTGGGAAAGTGGTTTACCACTTTCCCAGGCTAACTCTCAAGGGCACAGTCAACTTTGCTATCAAAGTACATTCAGAAATTATATCACTCCATAAACTTAGTTAGCTTCTAGGTACCAATACAAATTCAAATGAAAACCACAATAAATCTTGTACCTGGAACTGGTAGTCTACTATAAATGTAAGTAAAAGTTTTATTTGTGTTACATTGAAATTTAATTTGGACAAATAGTGCTTGAAGCAGTATATAAGAAAACCTGTTTTTTTTCTTAATGAACCTATCTATCAAATATATATTTTGGTATTCTATTAACTAAAAAATATTTTAACTTTCAAAAAGCTTTTTATAATTTATGGCAAGAGATAGGTACACTTCCTACTTCTATTTCTTCAACTCTGTGCACACCATGACCCCAAATTTTAAATTTCTTGGACACTCTTCCTGATATTTGAGTTTTGTTGAAACCCCCCCCCCCACTAAAAATATTAAAATGCTTTCATTTAAATAAAGTCAAATTTTCCCCAATACTCTATGTTCCCACTAAGTCAAAATTATACAAAAGCCTACAACTAGGTAACAGAAGTGGAAAACCAAATAAATGTTTTGAATTCTGCAGTTGTTTCACCCAAACTGAAAAATCATTCAACACTTCGCCCTATATATTTCTGAAATTATTCAGACTTTTGAACAAGAAAGCATCAGCTTAAAATTTAAGATATGCACTAAAATATGAGAACACCACAAAAGTTTTCAACTTTACTTCTAAGCTACTGTAAGCTGAAATAGAAAAATAGCAGCGATAGGTATAGATTGTTTAGTAGTCACAATACAGAAGACTCATGCTATTGGTTCTTAGGACTTGCAAAAAACTTATCTACGAAGCTGCTAAGAATTTTAAAAATATATATAGATATTTGAAAGAGAATGAGTGCAAAATTCTAATATAATTTGATAGCAGAACAAGTCTTTTATATTTCTATATATATTAAAAATTAATTTCACCTACTTTGTGAATAAAAAATATAAAAATATAAAAATAATTTGCTTTATGCTGCATAGTTTAGCTAATTAATTTAATAGGAGAAAAGGGGGTTACTTCATAAGGATAAAACCTATCGCATCCTAATCTAGTTCCAAATTTAAACAGAAAAATGCTGAAAATTCTAAAATTATGATATTATTTTAGAATTTTCATTCTGTCCATTTTTATATATATCTATATATATATATATATCTACATAGATATATATACATAAATCCTCAGTATTTTTAAGCAGAATACATACCTTGTCAATGATCTTTTGAAAGTGTACTTCCACAGTACAACTCTGGATGTCCTTGTGTTCGTCAGAATTGTGGATCAGCACAGAGAGCTTTTTGGATCTGATTTTTTGTGCCCGATATCCAAATACAAAAAGCATTGAATCAATTACATTGGATTTTCCGCTGCCATTTGGCCCAATAATACATGAGAAGCGCTGCATGTTATGGTAGGGAGGGGAAAAAAAACAAACCAATATTCAAACCTTAGAACAGTTACTGGCCAATGTACTTCATCTATTCTGTTTGTGGATAGCTTAAAATGCTGTTATTTCTAGTGCAGGAAATTGCAGGCTATTGGGAAGCTTAGTTTTTACTGCCAAGGGTAAAAAAAATACAACCTATTTAAACACACCTCCAGTGAGCTCAGATTTCTGAATTTTATCCTGTAAACTCAGAAAGGTATATCATATCAAATAAGCATGGTTTATAAAGAAACTAGTTCATAATATATTGACATGCTCTAATGTGGTTAATTTTTAGTGTTCTTGTGTTTGTGATTTAACCCCCAAAAGGAGTTAAAATAATAAAAAATAATTTTTCTTTGCTTAATTTTAATTTTTTAATTTAATTTAATGTGCACAGTATCAGAAAGTTACAGTTTGACTCTAAACTGTCCATTTTCTCTTTTTTACACTAAAAGAAATTAGAATTCCTTTAATGATATTACTCTAACTCTTCTACTTTAAATATTTAAGTCAAATACTTATTTTGGGATAAGTGTGTTGAAAGTACTGTAAGTACTAGACACACGAGAGCTCACCTCCATTTAAGAAATACAAAGAAAAAAAAAATACCTTATGAAAAGGTCCCAGAATTTGCTCCCCAGCATAGGATTTGAAGTTCTGGTTTACAATATGAGTTATCATGAGGCGAGGAGCTCCAGCTTCATTGGTCATTGCTGGTGGTGGGGGAGGAGAGATGCTACTCAAAATTTCTTCTAAACTTCGATTAGCAAGTTCCTCATTTAAGGCTGCTAAAATACATACAAAATAAAAGAAAAAAATAGAAATGATGAGCTCTTGATGACTAGAAAGCCCTTAAAAAATTCTAATTTAAGTACTAAAGCAGAAAAACTTGTTTCTACCTGAACTGGAATCTACCCTTTGACTTTAATTATTAAAAAAAAGTGAAGTAGACTTTAAGCACCCCACTTCACAAGAGCTATTTTATTTTTGCTTTTATAAAGTAGATACCCAAGATACCCCATTAGTTCACTTGTGAGTTCACATTCATTATGTAATTCTTATTTCCACATGCTTCAGAAGACAGTGTGCAATTACAACAGCTATGACTACTGCATTAAATCTACAAATCCAAACAAATAGGTTAATTCTTTCTAATTAGTAACTGGACAGCAATATTTCAGACATGCTCACAACTCGCTTTAAAAAGTAGATTTGGGGACTGCTGCACAATGCTCTGGAAGCTGTAATGACAGCACAAGTACTCTTCAAAGACCGGAAGTTTGTTACGAAAAAACAAACTGGCCCCTGGATTTCAATTAGTTATAGCAAAGCAGATTTTCAACTGTTTCAAACAACTCTTCCTTAAGTGGATACCAGTTTGGCACAGCTGTCTGCATATTAAAAGCATTTAATATTTTATTTTAGCAGCAACACATCTATGCCTACATAAAGGCTGTAACTAGTCTTTCTACACATGTTTTCAGCACAAAATCTATTCTAGTAAACTTTTATATAAAGTATTCATTAAGAATTAAGTCACAAACTAATATGTATTCAATACCCAGAAAACGCATATTACTATCCAAATAAAAAGTTCACGCTATTCTACTACAGTCCGAAGAACAAGGTAACTCAAAGACAACAGGCATAGCCTACCAACAGCATTTTACCTTAACTAGAACAGTGATGAAAGACTTAACTCTTTCAAAGCCATGTCTGCCATATAAAAATCAGATTTAAAAATTCAACTTGACAAAGTAAAACTTTATATATTATCACTTTTTAGAAAAAGAAAAGCAAATTGAACTTGTAATAGTTCAGTTCAACTTACTGCTCAAGGCACATATCACCAAGTTTGCATGCATGGCACAACAGAATAACAATACAGAGACTTACCTTGCTGAGACAGTTTACCGGGATGTGCATCATCTTTTCCCATTTCCATGTCACTGGTGGATTCTTCAATGGTCTCTTTGCCTTTTTGACAAGCTGCTGTAGACGTTTTGGTTCTCTTCCTTGGCATGATTGCTGTTGGCTGTTCCCCTCTGATTCCAAGCAATCAAAACTACTGTAGGGATCTCTCTCCTTTGCTAACACAAACAAGAAAAAACCCCATGACTCAAGTGCTGGGCGTATCACCCCCTTTAGAATCACCCACATGTAGGCCCAAATAACAAAAAAATAAACCAAATTCATAATTAAATAGTCAAAATACATCTCGATTTAAAATAGAAACTAAAGCCCAGGCTTATAATCACCGTATTTCAAAGGCCCTCAAAATGAGACTTACTCCCTCACAGCTACACAGTAGGGAAGATTGGCTATTGAAACTCCATAAAAGCCACATTTTGTGCCATCATTGATGCATAACAGCCAAGTTCAGATAGAGAGTAACGATGATGCTACTGGCAAAATTGTGCTACTCGAGTAATAAAACCAAATGAACATCCCATATGACTATATACTCAAACAAATGTGTATATGCAGTATTCTGACATTTTAAGAACATTTTCAACAAATATTGTACTTTTAGTTCTATTATTCAACAATATGCAAGGATATTTCCATTATTTATAAAAGCTCTAGTCCAAAGTAGATTAGACTGATAAAACACTGCCCACGAAAAGTAGAAAAGTTCCCACTACAGTCCCCTTTTTTGGGAAGACCATTGCTTGGCACTTCAAACTGCTGCCAAAAAAAGTAGGAACAGAAAGCAACTGATCAGAGAGGAGCTGAGAAGCAAGAGGACTGAAGAAGTGAAATATTCTCCCCAAAGAATCTAAATTGCTCCATCGCAACAAGTGGTGAATTTAGCTTGGAGAAAAACAGACATGAGAAAGTTTACTTCGCACAAGATAAAAAAAAACTGACGTGGTTAGAAAGTCATCTTACAATTGGTGCCAATCATTTGACGTTTTCAGACCTACCCCCAGCCCGTACTCTCATGAGAGCCCTTCATTTGGGACAATGGGGGAGGGGAAGTAAAAGAGAATTCATTTTAAGGCAATTTGAGTCCATGCCCCTGTTATGAAATGTTCCACAAGAGCTGTATCAGATATGTACAGCTTCTGAAGGATCCAGAGGATCCCCTCCCCCCCAATTTATTCGTTTCTACTTGAGTGGGGCACGAGAGACTACTTGCGCTTAAAAATGAAAAGAAGAAAAAAAAGAAAGGCGTTTAGTCACCAAAAAAAGAGTTCCAACAAAAACAACACCACTACTTATCCTCGTTTTCCAAGTTGGACTCTCGCTCCTATCTCGTTCTCAAATCACCTTGCCAAGCACGAACCACTTACCAGAGACTCCCCGATCCTCTCAACACGTTTCAGTCCAACCCCTCGACCCTCTCCAATAGCCAAATAAAAGGCGCTTGTTAAAA